TTTTCCACATTATATATTGTCAGGAAGCTCTACGAGTCCCCCGGCGGTAAGAAAGGTTGACGGTTTACCGCCGGCGCCCAGTCTCGTGTCGCCGCCCTCCGGTGGATGGTGCGCGGATTCGATTGCAGGAAGGCGAGGACTCCCATGGAAGGCCTCGACGTTTCTGCAGTTTTGGTCCGGGCCTTCCATGATGGTCCCGTTACCCTCAGCCGGCATCTTAAGAAAGCGCGTCAATGTTCATGGACTTCACATTTCGCTTAAGAGAATCAAGAGTCTGGATTGGGCCCTGGGCGGTTTCTTTGAGCTTGTTCTGATTGCAGAGGTGTCATATCTCTGGACCTGGACTGCTGCTTAAGAAAAGGCTTGGAGCGGAGGCCATCCTCTTAATTAGCCCAGGTTCTCAACTCTAAGCAAAGGTGCAGGCTTCTTGCAAGAAGGTAGGGGCGGGACATGCCCGTGCTAAGACTCTACGGGAGCGGGGGATGCGGCACGGTGAGTCGAGGCTCACGCCTCCGAAGGAAAACATCTTGCGTCTTGCACAGGGATGTGATATGTGGTCCCGGGGACGTGGTCCATCGGCCCAATGACGTGTGATGCATCGAACGGGGTTAGGACGAGGATAGATTCGTGCGTTCCGGAACACTCTGGGAAGGCCGCGGCGCCCGAGACATCTTCGTCTTCATACAAGCCCAGGGGAGGTGTTAGACGGGCCTGGGGAGATGCTAGATGGGCCCAAGTGAGTTGCTACACGGGTCTAGGACGGAGTTACATATGCCCGAGGAGGTGTGAAATGGCCCCAGTGGTAGACTGGCACGGGCAGGTGTTATACCGGCCCGGGGAGGTGTTATACGGCTCTGGAGGTGATATGTGATCTTGGCTGAGGACCACGACCTCCCCACTGGTTAGACTAGAGATAGAATAGGTCCCACAGTTTTTCAGCCTCCCCCCACAGATGGGATGGGGTGGACGACGACGATGACGACGACGACGACGACGACGACGACGATGTCGGCGTCGAAGATGGCGAGGCGTCGAAGATGGCGTGTCACCTGTCGCGGGCGGGAGGAGAGGAGGAGGAGGGGAAGAGGAGGAGCTGGCAGGAGGAGGAGGAGGAGGAGGAGGCGGAGCTGTGGAGTCGGGACGTCGCGGTGGTGTGGGGGGGCGGTGGTGTGGTGGGGCGGGAGCAGGGCATGGTGCTGTGTATGGAGGAGAAGGGCGGCGAGGAGTCGGCGGAGGAGGTGGAGTGGGTGGCCGCTGGGAGGCGCCGGGAGGCCTCTCCCTCCCCCACTTCCTCTCCGCCCCCTTCCTGTCTCCTGATCCCCTGCCCCTCCTTCAGGCCACGAGGACCTGAAGCAGGACGAGCGGGTGATGCAGCTGTTCGGCCTCATCAACAGCCTGCTGGAGGGGAGCGTGGAGTCGGCCAAGCACGACCTTTCGATTGCCCGGTCTCCTTGCGGGCAGGGAGGGGGGAGGGCACCCACCCACCACCACTTGGCCCCCACAGGCCGATTTTGGGGCCCGATTTTCACGAGCAGGAGGGGGAGGAGGAGGAGGAGGAGGAGGAGGAGGAGGAGGAGGAGGAAGAGGAGGAGGAAGAGGATGAGGGCATGCTGCAGGGGGTTTTTGGGGGGTCGAGACGATCTGACGGGAAAGGAGGAGGAGGGGGAGTTGGAGCAGTGCAGGGGTGAGGGGTGATGGGAGAAGGGGGATGAGGGTAGGGGAGCGGATGGGAGGAGAGGTGGCGCAGATGAATAGGGCGGCCCCACAAACAAGCGGAGCGCGCGAGATGGCGGGATGTGGTAGGAAGATTTTTCCAGCAGGGGCGTGGAGTCGAGAAGTGTTTCGTGAGATTTCTGGCGTACAGCTGCCTGCTAATTGAACTGAAGATGCTGTGTGTGGCAGACGCCGCAGGTTTGCGGTCGTGCCGCTTTCCGCCGATTCTGGCCTCATCGAGTGGGTGCCCCGCTGTGACACTTTGCATCAGCTGATCAAGATGTACCGCAACTCGAGGCACGTAGAGCTCAGTCTTCGCCTCAGTCGCTGTTTTTCGGTGGGGAAGAGGGTGGAGGAGAAGGGAAAGACATCGTGTTCCAGCATGGCTGCGCACAGGGGAATGCTGGACCCATGCAACGCTGTCGAGATCGAGCGCAGCGTGCGACTGTGGTGAATGCGACCGGTGGAAGAAGTAGAAATGAGAAAGCAGGAGGAGGGCGACCGTACAGTCCACATCATATCACAGTCAAGACGCTGAATTAAGGACCTCTTTGGGCTTAGATGGGGCTTGGGTTTTAAGGCCGTTCCTTTCATTAATGCCGCGGAACTTTTGGGTGGCCGAGGCATGCCGTGGCCAGAAAAGCCCCTTCGTTCTTTATTGGGTGCCCCTAATGACAGCACGCTGACTGTGCCGAACTGGTGAGCGCAGGAGGGAAGCATGAAACGACCAGCGCCCCGACCTGGACCAGTCGGCCTACTTTGCTGTTGTGGGGGCTGGAGATTACGCGACATCTTCTGCGAGTCCCGACGAGGATCCAGTCTGCTCTGTTCCCAGACATTTCGTGGGCCTAGAAGCAAAAGCGCAGGACCGCCGTTTCTGGGCACTTTCTGGGGCCGCCTTCGGACCTCTGGGCTCTCAGCAAGCCCGACGCGCTGCCAAAGAGCGGTCCCAGAGATGGTGTCCAGAGCTCCAAAGGGCCAGGTGGCGCCAAATTGCGACGTCGGAGGCCTGTATCGCTCAGAATAGGCTTGCTTTGCCCGGTCGTCGTACTAGTAGACCTACTTCGTCCTACTAGTACGACCGCGGGGCGTACTAGTAGCCGTACGTAGCCGTACTCGTACGCTCGGCCGTGCATGCCGCAGGCGTACTAGTAGCCGTACGTAGCCGTACTCGTACGCTCGGCCGTGCATGCCGCAGGCGTACTAGTACCCGTACGTAGCCGTACTCGTACGCTCGGCCGTGCACGCTGCAGGCGTACTAGTACCCGTACGTAGCCGTACTCGTACGCTCGGCCGTGCATGCCGCAGGCGTACTAGTACCCGTACGTAGCCGTACTCGTACGCTCGGCCGTGCACGCCGCAGGCGTACTAGTACCCGTACGTAGCCGTACTCGTACGCTCGGCCGTGCATGCCGCAGGCGTACTAGTAGCCGTACGTAGCCGTACTCGTACGCTCGGCCGTGCACGCCGCAGGCGTACTAGTAGGCCTACGTAGCCGTACTAGTACGCTCGGCCGTGCACGCCACAGGCGTACTAGTAGCCGTACGTAGCCGTACTCGTACGCTCGGCCGTGCACGCCGCAGGCGTACTAGTAGGGCTACGTAGCCGTACTAGTACGCCCGCTCCGGTCGTACTAGTACGCGTACGTGGCCCTACTCGTACGCTCGGCCGGCCACGTCGCAGTCGTACTCGTAGCCGTACGTAGCCGTACTCGTACGCCCGACCTGGCACACCGCCGCCGTATTAGTAGGCGTACGTAGCTGTACTAGTACGGCCGTCCTTGCATTCTGCTGCCGTACTAGTAGGCCCACGTCGCCGAACTCGTACGCCCCCTCCAGTCGTACTCGTACCGGTACGTAGCCGTACTCGTACGCTCGGCCGTGCACGTCGCAGTCGTACTAGTAGCCGTACGCAGCCCCACTCGTACGCCCGAGCCGCGCACCGCCGCCGTATTCGTAGGGTCACGTCTTGGAAGCATCTTTGGCCGTCTGGAGGCCATCCTGGGCGTCTTGAAACGATGTTTCGGCGACTCGGGGCTTCTTGGACCGGCTCGGGAGCCTCTTAGGGCCTTTTTGGCTCGTCGTGGAGCTCTGTGTTGTCTCATGGCGCGTGTACGCCGGCTGGCCGGGCGCTTCCCCTCCTGATCGACCAGACGAGGCCCCCAGGGAGGGGTTTGGGAAGAGGGGGAGCATCTGACACGCCGATGAGACCCAAGGGGTCGGCGGATTTGTCTAGTACATCGGTTTTCGCAATTGTCGGCCTTCGTAAGCCTTCAACGGGCCCTAGGATCATTAGAATGTGACTCAGGACGGAAAACCTGGGGAAGTTTTCGGGACCTCGGGAGACCACCGGGGACCTCATATTGAAAAACTTTGATTTTCGAATTGCGGGGCTCGGGGAGGTTTCTCGGCGGGTTCGGCCCCAGGGGGCCGCCTTCGGTTCCCGGGGCCTCTGGAAGTCGAGCTGGGTTGAAAAACTGCGATCGAGGACGTGGCCATCTGTCGAACTTCGATTCTCGATCTTCAGGGATCGGGGAGATTTTCCGCGTTTTCGGCCTCCGGGGACGGTTTTCGGGTCTCGGGGTCGCTGCAGATCGATCTGGGGTAAGCAACTGCGTCGGGAGGGACCCCGAGAGAGATCCGGGAATTTATTTCGAGCAGATTTCGGCCGAAGTCGTCGTCGCCATCGCTGTCGCCGACGCCGTTCGTCGTCGTCGTCGTCGTCGTCGGCGGCGTCGTCGTCGTCGTCGGCGTCGGCGTAGCCGGCTCCGCCGCCGCTGCCATCCTCGGCTTCGGCGCTGCTGCGGTCGTCGTCGTCGTCGCCGTCAGCGTGGACGTCGTCGTCGTCGCTGCCGCCGCCGCCCTGTTATCCCTTTCCGTCTTCCGTCGGTCTGATTCCCGTTAGTCTTTTTTTGTTGGTTCAGTCCCTTCTTCCTAGTTTTAGGTTGCTCCAGTCTCTCGTTTGTCTCTTTCGCCCTTGTGCAGCCTTCGAGTTCGTTGTCTTCGGTTCACTTCCCTTCAGTTTCTTATAGTCCCTCTGAGTCTCTTTTAGTCCCTGTAGTCCCTTTTAGTTCCTTGTAGTCCCTTTGAATCCCTTTCCGCTCCTTCAGTATGATTGTAGCCTTTCAGTTTCTTTCGTGCCTTGTGGTCCCTTTTGGTTCCTCTTATTCGCTTGTAGTTTTATTGACTCCCTTTTAGTCCCTTTAGTCCCTTTTAGTGCCGTTCAGTTTCCTTCCGTCTTTTCAGAAGGGTTGTAGCCTTCAAGCTCATTTCAATCCCTGTAGTGCCTCTTAGTCCCTTGTAGTCCCTTTTCGTTCCTTGTAGTCTTTTGTAGTTCGTTCAGTCCCTTTTAGTCGCTTCTAGTCCCTGTCAATCCCTTACCGTCCCTTCAGTATAATGGTAGCCTTTTGGCTCCTTTGAGGCCTTCGGTGTCTTGTTGTCCCTTTTACTTTCTTGTTAGTTCCTTTTAGTTCCTTTTGGTTCGCTTCGTCCCTTTAGTCTTTCTTAGTCCCTTGTAGCTCCTTTCAGTCTCCTTCCGTCTCTTCAGTACGAGTGTCGCCTTTTAGCTCCTTTCAGTCTCTTTCGTACCATGTAATCCCTTTTGGTCCCTCTTAGTCCCTTTGCGTTTCTTGTTATCCCTTTAGTCTCTTTTCGTACCTTTGAGTCCCTTTCCGTCCCTTCAGTAGGATTGTAGCCTTTAAGCTCCTTTCAAGTCCTGTAGTGCCTGTTTGTCCCCTTTAGTCCCTTTTAGTATTTTGTAGTCCATTTAGTCCCTTTTTGTCGCTTTTCGTCTTTTGCAGTCCCTTTCCGTCCGTTCAGTATAATGGTAGCGTTTTAGCTCCTTTGACCCCCTCCGGTGTCTTTTTGTCTCTTTTACTTTAGTTTTTACTCTCTTTTAGTTCCCTTTGGTTCTATCAGTCCCTTTGGTCTCTCTTAGTCCCTTTTAGTCCCTTTCAGTTCCCCTCCGTCTCTTCAGTACGATTGTCGCCTTTTAGCTGCTTTCAGTCTCTTTCGTGCCATGTGCTCCCTTTTGGTCTCTCTTAGTCCCTTCTAGTCCCTTTGAGTCCCTTTTAGTCCCTTTTAGTCCCTTTAGTCCCTTTTAGTCCCTTTAGTCCCTTGAGACCCTTTTAGTCCCTTTCAGTCCTTTCCGTCCCTTCTGTACGATTGCAGCCTTTAAGCTCTTCAGTCCCTTTGAGTCCCTTTTAGTCCCTTTTCGTCCCTTGAGACCCTTTTAGTCCCTTTCAGTCCTTTCCGTCCCTTCTGTACGATTGCAGCCTTTAAGCTCTTCAGTCCCTTTGAGTCCCTTTTAGTTCCTTTTAGTCCCTTTTAGTTTCTGTCAGTCCTTTTAGTCTCTTCGAGTTCCCAGTGGAATTCCCTCCCATAGGAGTCGCTCCGGCGAGTTCTAATCCGAGCAGGGGTCTCTGTGGACCTCCTGCGCCCTCAGAGCTACGACGCTTGTGCTGCACCGCACGGAGGGTAACCACAGGGAAGGGGGGAGGAGAAGAGTTCGAAGGAGGAGGGAAGGAGGAGAGAGGATGGCTTTGCTCATGTGCGGTGTTTCGGTCGCCTCGGCAAGCGAGGATGAACGAGAGGGCGAGAGCCCAGGAGGCAGGAAGAGGTAAGAGGAGTAGGAGAGGGTATGAGGGACTAGGGAAAGGCACGATGAGTAAGGATGGGGCGGCACGAGGCGGAAGGTATCAGGCGTTCGGGAAGCAGGGTTCTTTCTCATTCGTAGGTGCATTGAGGCTCTGATTATTTCTCTTGCGCACGCTGGTATCACGGCAATGGGGCGCAGACAGTGTCCTTTTTGCCCGGGCTGGGGGCCCGACAAGTGTCGTTGCGACGACAAGTCCCACTGGCAGACTGGCCCGGGACGCCCTAAGAAGGCGATGTCGCTGGCGGCGCCTCCAAAGGCGTTCGGTGTCTTTTTGTCCCTTGTACTTTCTTGTTAGTTCCTTTTAGTTCCTTTTGGTTCGCTTCGTCCCTTTAGTCTTTCTTAGTCCCTTGTAGTCCCTTTCAGTCTCCTTCCGTCTCTTCAGTACGACTGTCGCCTTTTAGCTCCTTTCAGTCTCTTTCGTACCATGTAATCCCTTTTGGTCCCTCTTAGTCCCTTTGCGTTTCCTGTTATCCCTTTAGTCTCTTTTCGTACCTTTGAGTCCCTTTCCGTCCCTTCAGTAGGATTGTAGCCTTTAAGCTCCGTTCAAGTCCTGTAGTGGCTGTTAGTCCCTTTTAGTCCCTTTTAGTGTTTTGTAGTCCATTTAGTCCCTTTTTGTCGCTTTTCGTTTTTTTCAGTCCCTTTCCGTCCGTTCAGT